CCTGTGACATTTTGTCCTATCAAATTTGTGACTTTATGTCCTGTGACTTTTTGTCCTGTGACTTTCTGTCCGTTTACCTTTACAAACATATATTTTTTATAGAACATCAATACATTTTGTTAAACTTTTACTCAAATTTTGTGTAGTTCATGCTAACAATAAGCGGCAAAAATATTTTTCTAGACAATTTACAAACATATATTTTTTATAGAACATCAATAAATTTTGTTAAACTTTTACTCAAATTTTGTGTAGTTCAAGCTACAAAAATATTTTTTTGTCCTGCATCCGATTTCACCTTGAGAGATGCACACGCCTGGTGAAGCTAATTTGTTAAGTGAAATATTGCGTGAATAATATAAAATATAACAACTAGTTTTATAACACTCATTAGTGTGTTAAAGTTACATTCTTAGGCACTTATATATATATATATATATATATATATATATGCTTAAGATCCATTTTGTTTCATCTGGTGATCAGTTTATTTGGCAATCGCCAATGTAAGTCAGCAGTGTTGAACAACACCCGTTGTTCGACCTGCTAGTCTAATGCGTTTTGTCAAAATATACTTTTTCACTTTTTTGGTCTTTTGGAAAGTGTTGTTTGTGCTGTATTAAGACCCCTCTACCAAGAAATTTGTTTTGCATGACCACGTATAAAAATTGCGGTTTTTATCCAACGCAATCATAGGTTTGAAGGTTGTTTTCAATTTAGACTTGTTTATATTTTTTTCGTTTGGGCTTGTATTATATTTGCCTTCGGGTTTATATGATCAGTTCATCCTATTACGACTCTTCAACATTCAAGAGTCTATCCTAAATTGAGGTAAATTATATGGCCTTCCAAATAACGTTTCGATTCCTAACATCACTGAAGAGACATTAATTGTCGAAACCGGATATGGTCAGGCCTGGGGCCATTACATTGCAATGTAATGCATTACATAACAACTACTTTGTGATTCTTCCATTACAATTACAATTACCAATACATTTTTTCTCACGTGTAATGCATTACATTACAATTACTTTGCCTGTGTAATGCATTACATTACACATTACTTTTTTAATATAAAAACTAAAAATATTTCAAAAACAGATTTTTATAAGAAATTGATAAATATTACCGAGGTTTATGTACATATATATATATATATATATAGTGTTTGTGACATAGACTTTAAATACTGGTCAATTAACATGTCCATTGCACTTTATCATCTTAAGTGTTTCAAACGTTTGAAAAATAAAGAAATTATCATATAATTTTGTTTCTAACATTGATCACTTAATCATTAGGACTTCATAAAGGGATTTCAAAGGGATACAATAAATGTGTCATTAAAGGATTATCTTGTTAAATGCATAAGGGCTCTGTGAGGACAAACATAAGTTTAGAAGATTTGATTGCAATAAAAACATTTTGATATTAATTAGGTGAAATAACAAAACAGTTGGCCTAGAGGATTTAGTTATGGATCCTTGAAGACAAGAATTAAGGGCAAACTATCTATAATGATGCAATACAGTAATTAACTGTGACAATAATTTTATTCAATACTTTATTTTGTTTTTGTTAATATTTTATTTTTATTTTACTATATTCTTCAATTTTATGTATTTTACCAATTTGTAATGAAAAGTAATGTACAGTAATGGAGGCATTACATTGATTTTTAACTAAAGTAATCATCACATTACATGTAATTGTAATGCAGAAAATGTGCATTACAAATTACTTTGCATTACACCAAAAAAATGTAATATTACAATGCATTACAATCACAAATTACTATTACCCCAGGCCTGGATATGGTGTACTAATGTTTGCACCTTTTGTTTGCGGTATACCATCTTTTCCGCAAGTTTATTGTTATCTGTTTGGTACTAAATTAATAGTTAAGATCAATTTTGTTACATCTGGTGATCCGTTTATTTGGCAATCGCCAATGGCAGTCAGCAGGGTTTAAGGACATCCGTTGTTCGACCTGCTACTCAAATGCGTTTTGTTAAAATATACTTTTTCACTTTTTTGGTCTTTTGGTAAATGTTGTTTGTGCTGTATTTATACCCCTCTACCAAGACATTTGTTTTGCATGCACACGTATAAAAATTGCGGTTTTTATGAAACGCAATCATAGGTTTGAACGTTGTTTTCAATTTAGACTTGTTTATATTTTTTCGTTTAGGCTTGTATTATATTTGCCTTCGGGTTTATATGCTCCGTTCATCCTATTACGACTCTTCAAAATTCAAGAGTCTATCCTAAATTGAGGTACATTATATGGCCTTCCAAATACCGTTTCGATTCCTAACATTACTGAAGAGTCATTAATTGTCGAAATCCGGATATGGTGTACTAATTTTTGCACCTTTTGTTTGCGGTATACCATCTTTTCCGCAAGTTAATTGTTTTCTGTTTGGTATTAAATTAATAGTTAAGATCAATTTTGTTACATCTGGTGATCAGTTTATTTTGCAATCGCCAATGGCAGTCAACAGGTTTTAAGAACATCCGTTGTTCGACCTGCTACTCAAATGCGTTTTGTTAAAATATACTTTTTCACTTTTTTGGTCTTTTGGTAAATGTTGTTTGTGCTGTATTTATACCCCTCTACCAAGACATTTGTTTTGCATGCACACGTATAAAAATTGCGGTTTTAATCCAACGCAATCATAGGTTTGAACGTTGTTTTCAATTTAGACTTGTTTATATTTATATATACTCTGCCCTTAGCGGAATTCAAACCACTTCATCTGAGACATCGTGGCAACAGCGCTTGTAATGTGTATAATTATTTTTGCGATTTCCACGATAATTTGCACTAAATCTTTACAACAAAATAAGGATTGTTTGGTTTGCCTAGTAACTTAATTAAGGTGTTCTGATTTCTAAATACCAATCGATTTTGTAGGTATTTGAACTTGAACGTCTTTGATCAAGCTTCATTTATTTACGAGTAATTGACACGTCGTCCCTTTGAGGTGGAAAGCAAGTCGCAAAATCCTTAGAGGTTGGTACGCTATGAATGTTTTCCCATACAGTAGCAATATTTTAAACTAATCAATTTAAGCCAGCTGTTCTCGTCGTCTGCTGTATTTAAATTGAAACGATAACATTATATGGTAAGTTTGTTTTGATTTGGGTTTATTTTTATAACTACTATTTTCCAGACCGTTTTCTTGTGAACTGCTTGCATCTTTACGGATTATAGGTCAAATATTGCAGAGATCTAGTCTGCAGTATTTGCAAGGTATGTAATGTTTTTGCCACAAGATTCCACATTGAACAGATGCATGTACATTTGTATTAATGTACAGTGAGTATTGTTTGAAAACTAAACTGCATGTTAAAGAAGATGACGCCAATTTAACAATTAAGGATCTGTCATTGTAAATACCATTCGCAATATGTGATATATATTTTGCATTTGATATCACAGGACATGCGCTACCTGTCATGCTAGTTAAAATATTAAAGAGGCTGCAAGTTATATTGATTTATTGAAGAAAGTGTTCTAAATGGCACTAACTTGATTTTAATTTTTTATTTTAAGATAGTGCACGTGGTGGTTGAGTTTCGTAGATTCTTCTTATTTTTCATGAAAAAAATTCGTTCTACCAGGAAACTGTAAGCATGGTAAGGTCAGTGAAATTTTGCATGAGCATCAGACTTTGCTGAAATGTGGCTGCATGATAGTGACTATTCTTTTGTCAAATTTAAGGGGAAGAACAAGATTTATTTCAAATATGAAAATAAGAAGATATGATATGATTGCAATCGACCAAATGAGACAGAAATTAACAACTCTATGTCACCGTACGGCCTTCAACAAAAAGTAAAACCCATACCGCATAATAAGATATAAAAGTCCCAAAAATTACAAATGTAAAAAAATTCAAACGAGAAAACTAACGGCCTGATTTATGCACAAAATAGTAAACGAAAAACAAATATGATATACAAAAACAAACGACAACCACTGAATAACAGGCTCCTGACTTGAGACAGGTACATACAGAATCCGGCGCGGGGTTAAAAAGTAAAATAAAAAAAATATCGAACTCTAAGAAAAATTCAAATCGGAAAGTCCCTTATCAAATGGCAAAATCAAAAGCTCAAACACATCAAACGAATGTAAAACAACTGACATATTCGTGACTTGGTACAGGCATTTCCTTATGTAGAAAATGGTAGATAAAACCTTGTTTTATAGCTAGTTAAACCTCTCACTTGTATGAAAGTTGCATAAAATTCCATTATATTGACAACAATGTGCGAACTATTGTGAAGGCACACACCCTCCCCTAACACGGGACAGTGGTGTAACAGTGCAACATAAGAACAAACTATAAGAATCAGTTAATTTAGTTTACTTTTTCTCAATAAGGATTAGTTTAATTTTAACGTAGCATGAAAGTAACTAGAAGTCCGGCCCGATCCACTTAAGTTAACCTGGTGACCTTGTACGTTTTCTTTGTAAACTTTTGATTTGTTACATAATCAGTTAGGGCATGCGGCGAATGAAAATTTTTAGGTTTTAAAGTCTTTTTAAGAAAATATGTTAAACTTGGTAATCTCATTTTTTTAAAAGTTCAAATGTCTTTCGGGATTTTTTTATTTTTTTATTTTTTTTAACAAAATTATCTGATTTTCCAGCAATTCAAACATTTTCCTTGCAATCTCAAACATTAGCATAAAGCAATGAACAAATATAACCTCTTCATTTGACTTAAGATAAAGTTATTGAAGTGAAGAGCCTTACAAGTTTTTCCAGAATTTGCATAAAAACGTATATATGAATTAGTGAGAATTGTCGGATAATTATTTATAATTGTTTTACACAATACTGTAATAAAACAAATATTAACAAAACATCTTCTTAGTACATTAAAGGAACCGAGTGTACTTTCTAATTTACTAGTTAACTGTTATTCACTTAATATATTTGATTATAATTGAATTGTTTCATGTCACCCTTTAATAAATCGTACCTTCTCTTTTGTGTTTCTCCTTTAACATTAATGGGGTATACTCTGCTGAAAGTTTCTTTAAAAAATGAGACAGATATAGGTTGAACCATCTGTAATTTCTCTGTTCCTGAACATCTCTGGAGACTGGTTTCAGAGTAAGATACAAATCAGGCCCGTTTACTTTATTGACGTCTTTCTATTTTAGTAAACGATAAATTGGTTTTAATACATATTGTTCATTAACATAGCGATAAATCTATTTTTACAAAACATACAATAACTGAATACGCAGTCGTTTTTAAGACTCAAATGAAGTACAAAAGATACATTATGACTTGGGTTGAGACCGACTTTGCTCGTCAAATTTTGGAAATCAGTATCCAAGTGAAAATAGGGGTCAATATATAGATGTGCAATTAAGGGTAGCCTTAGTTGCGACCATAAGATAATTTCGGTCAGCCATTCATTTTAAAGCAATCAGCAATAGTTAACCTTTTTCGTTATTTAATAATTCTTCGATTCTGCTATTTATTGGAATTGAGGTCATGATTGAAACCTTTTTTAGTTTACTTTTAATGAAAATGGACATACAATTCTTTTGAAATACACATAAAATGGCATGATCACTGTAAATTATTAAATAAATGTAAAATGTCCGCAACCAAAACTGTATAGTATTTTTTTTACTGTTTTTTTTTATCGTTTATGCTTTGACCACGGTATTGTCTTTTTACTTCGACTTATGTTTTATTGTCTCCTTGACATCTTCTGGCGTTTTGTTTTTTTTCAATTTAAGAGTACTGTTTTCTAAATAAGAATTATGTTTCAAATTAATGTACTTTTTTCCTTTATCACTCTTTACTGTTAGTTATTCGAAAAATCAGACAATGGTATTGCAAAAAGAATAAAACAAATGAGGATGTTTTATCAAAACAATTGTCTTCACTTCTCTGGTAGTGCACTTTCGTAGGCAATTCATCTATCTACCAATGTTTTAACATCAGATTTCTGAAGCCCCATGATGATTTATTCCTACTTATTTGAACATCTGTTGTGTCGTAATATACAACTCAAACCGGTTGGGGCATGATGTTGTAATAATTTATAATTTCTAGCTTCCCATTTCCCACTTCAAATTTGACATTGCTCAGTTCCGACTTGTTATTTCTCAATCCAAAGAACAACGCCTTGGCTAAATAAAGGGAAAAATATCAAGTTGCATATCACAAATGTCAACTTGGAACTGAGAAATGTCAACTAAGAACTGAGAAATATCAACTAGGAATGAGAAATGTCAAGTTCTTAATTAATTTTTAAGTCGGCAAATGTACTGTCATAAACTAAGATTAGATCTATTTTACATTATATTAAAACAATTAAAAGGATTTGCCGGTAAAATATGAAATGTTCAAACTCGCAGGAAAATGTTATCAAAACTGTGTTACGAATTCATCATATCCAAAAGAAGAATTGTTTTCCTTTTTTTGTCGAGATAAGTTGGAGCCTGAAGTAAATTTTTATCAAACTATTATATGATATATACCGCATTCGTTTTTGTCCATGGCCTGATTGCAATCAATATGTTTTCTTTTGTCTTTCCGGATGATTGTTCTTTGTGTGTTTTTGCAGCATGAGTGTCTGTGGTTTCTCTAAATGTCTTGTATATTAGTGCGCTTATACCATCGTTGTTACCGCGGTAAATAACCCAACACTCTAAAAACAAATCTTAAATTTTTGATTACTTGTTTTCTTATTTCCCAATATTTGGATAGGTGAATTACATACAGTTTAGCTTATAATAAGCCATAAAAGATGCACTCGAACCACATAATAATCACGAACAATTTCGAAAGTTGAGTTGTGTGTTTTGCTTAGTCATATTTATTCGAGAACGCGATTGGTACCGTATTGGACTTTTCAGGAACTCATTTCATATAGTTGGAATTAGATTATTTTGTCTGGAAGCGGAACTGCTTCACGGCAAAGAAGCTGAACGAAAGTCATCGATTGGCGATGTTCAATCCTTAATTGTTTGAAGTTAATACTGGGTTTATATGAATATGGAAATTGTAAATGGTATTTTGCCTTCTAACAAACTTGTTATCAATTTCGATAATAAAGCACCAAAGTTTGTAAGTATAACACATGATTTTCTATTTACTTCTCATCAATGTTCTGAATTGCAACAAATCAATATGGATACCAGTATACTCCTTAAGAAGGAAAATAGGTCGTATTCAATTGTTATTTAAATATGATAAAATCGGGCTGTTTGGTTCTAACAAATAAAGGCAACAGTAGTATACCGCTGTTCGAAACTCATAAATCGATAGAGATAAAAACAAATCCGGGTTACAAACTAAAACTGAGGGAAACGCATCAAATATAAGAGGAGAACAACGACACAACAAAAACACAACATTAAAATGTAACACACACAGAAACGAACTATAATATAACAATGGCCATTTTCCTGACTTAAAACAGGACATTTTAAGAAAAAAATGGTGGGTTGAACCTGGTTTTGTGGCATGCCAAACAAATGTGAGTAAGACACCAGTATGTTGTAAGGTAGAGAATCAGCCTAATTATTACGTAGCCATTTTTTGGTTCCCAATGTCATGCAAATATTCGAATTTAAAGCCATTTAAATTGATATCAAGTTATACAATATGCCTACATTGTCTCCTAATCACTATTATCAGCTCAACATTTGTCAATTGTGGTGTTCTGATAAAGCAAAAAAATTGTCATAAGTGGCATATTTTATCAGACAAAATTATTATGTGTATATTTGTTCGTCAAAACGTACCACAGCTTCGTATAAAAGATATTTGTAAACAATCATCAAACTATTTGTAAATGAATTATTATAGCAAATAAAAAAATGCTTCTGGTTAGGTCGTTTTTTATACTTCTAAACCTTCAACTGTAGCTGTCTGTATTTATAAATGAGCTGGAATAGGATCCCAGTTACAGGATACCAGTCCAGTACCCACGAATGAAGCCCCTTAATAAACCTACCGTCTTTTAAATTGGATATTGTACCGAGACGGAAATTATGTAAAGATGCTTCAATTTGTAGTTTATCTAAAGGGTATGCCGGTCATGACCCTCCAAGAAACCATGAAGGGGGCTACTAGTATGAGAAAGTAACTGAAATTTTGCAGTCTTATATAGGGAATAAAAAATCTGCCCGTCAATTTGGATAAAATGGCATTGAAGTAATGGGGGAAATAATTGGGTCCCCGTTCCTGTCAGGAATAGGAAACCAGTTACAGGATACCAATCCAGTACCCACGAATGAAGTCCCTTAATAAATCTACCATATTTTAAATGGGATATTGTACCGAGACGGAAATTATGTAACGATGCTTCAATTTGTAGTATATCTAAAGGGTATTCATTAAACTTTCAACTTCTGCTCAATTTTAAGTGATTCTGAAATGTATAGGGTGGATGATTGTCTGATTAAATGGTCCAAATTTTATTTTCGATTTTAGCCAGGAAGTTAATAAAATGACCCTATTAAACTCAAAACAGTATTGCTCTCTTTAATGCCGGTCATGACCCTCCAAGAGTTCTCCAAGAAACCATGAAGGGGGCTACTAGTATGAGAAAGTAACTGAAAATATGCAGTATTATATAGGGAATAAAAAATCTGCCCGTCAATTTGGATAAAATTGCATTGAAGTAATGGGGGGAAATAATTTAGTCCCCGTTCCAGCTTTATGTAAGACACGTGATAAAAAAGGTGAGGGATAAATTAGACTTTTTCAGACGTTTTATGACGTCGTTTTTAAGCTTAACCTATTTTATAGGTACTGACTTTGATAAATCAATCTTGAAAAACATGACATACTTATCAACTTTGAAAAATATATAAGATAACAGGCTTATAATTTGGCACATCAGCCGCGCGTTTCTTCTATATAAGTCTCATCCCATTCGTGGCGATCGAATGAAACAGTTTGAAGCCTATATCAAATACGAAGTTGAAGATCATTAAAACCGAAAATTTTGAAAAGTTGTGTAAATTACAGCTTTGGCAATCTATGCCTGGGTTCAAAGCGTTTTGATTTATTCAACATTTTATTAAATTTACAAAAAGTTTACATATCAATGATAGGTCATGTCAACACAAAAGTGCTGATTACTGAGCTAGTGGTACCGTCGGATAAGAAAGTTCCACCACAGACTGGATGGTTGTAAAAACTCTTCAACCATACCAGCCTTATAATTTGGAACATCAGACGCTCGTTTTGTCTTTATAAGCATCATACGTGGCGTTTGCATCAAATACATGGAATGGTAAATCTGTTAGATTTGTAAAAATTCTGACTAACCTTCAGCGAGTATGGGTTTTTGTTGTCCTTTTGTTAGTTTTGTGCGTTATTATTGCTAATCAAATGACTCCATCCAAGTTACAATATGTAAAATTAAACCATTATAGGTAAAAGTACGGCCTTCAACACGGAGCTTTGGCTCACACCGAACAGGCATAATTGTCTTTGTTTACATCATACAATACGGTATGGGTTTTGTACATTGGTAAATGCCCATCTTAAATGGTTACTTGTCTCATTGACAAACAAACTACACCTCTTTATATAAACATTATTTACATACGTATTTTTAAAATCCTGTTTCGTTCGATGATGTATTGGTTCTATCTACATATACAACATTGCAAAACTCCGGAGAAATGTTTTCTTATATTAAATGTAAAATATACATTTCCGAAACTGAAATAATATGGAATTATGGATAATGTATTAATCTATAACACTAAGCTTCCTTACTTTTAACTCCTTGGGTAGATTGCAACAGTCCAGATGTTAAAGCTGTTGTATTCCATGGCTTAGGAACATAACTCTCCGAGTCACCGATTACTGCTAATACGAGACCTGGTAAGCCATTGTCGTGTTCATCATCAGCAGGTACGTATATTGATCGCCTTATCGTACTATAAATCTCATTTAAATCTTCATCATTTATGCACGATTCTTTTACATGTATTTCAATGTTTCTGCTCCTACAATTAAGGTGTACTATTTCAGTTTGAATTCTGTAGGTTGAAGCGTGATATGTGACAACAGTTGTTATAAACAATTTGATAAATAAATGCCTGTTCATAAACATTTTGCAAACAATTACAAATGGTAACATCTATAATGAAACTAAACATTAATCAGATACAATACTAACAAGAATGTGTCCATAGTACACGGATGCCCCAAATGCACTATCATTTTCTATGTTCAATGGACCGTGAAATTAGGGTCAAAACTCTAATTTGGCATTAAAATTAGAAAGATCATATCATAGAAAACATGTGTACTAAGTTTCAAGTTGATTGGACTACAACTTTATCAAGAACTACCTTGACCAAAAACTTTAACCTGAAGTGGGACAGACGGACGAACGGACGCACAGTCCGAAAACCATAATGGCCCTAGGCGGGGCGTAAAACAACTGCAAATTATTGTCTTGTTTAATTTCTGGGTACATGTTATGAAAGAAAGCTTTTTTAACGACATTGTATATTTATTCACCAAATATGCTTGTTACGTTGTTTATGCAAGTGTCCAACCTTTTCGTGATGTATCCTATAATATTCCATTGATTACCCAGGTTTGTATTCAGGGTTGAATTCTTGACTATTTGCAAACATACTGTTTTATCTCTCTTTTTTTCCCTCATAGTTGATGTGTTTCCCTCGGTTTTAGTTTGTAACCCAGATTTGTTTTCGCTTAATCGATTTATGACTATTGAAAAGCGGTATACTACTGTTTATTTAAAGGATGCCTTTTTTATCGACGTTTCCTTCTGTTTATGTGACGCATACTTGCTGCGCTTACCCTCCGTTGTCAGACTGTTCTTCACTCATTGCTGTTGCACATTTATTCTACTGTTGTCAGGACCAGGAAATATAACAAATTCAATACTACAATAGGAAGAGTATAAATCAACGTATTTCGCATGAATTAAAATTTCTTAATGTAGACACGATACGCATTTTGTCTAAAGATTTTTATTGCATTTTGTTTTTGTTTCCAAAAAACATACCAGATATTGATCCCTTTTATCATTATAGAGTCATTATATCTGTTGAACAAAAAAAAGATTTGAAATCAATTCGTAATTGGAAAAAGAGAAAACGTGTAGACATGTACAACACTAATTCCTTAACGCAGTTGACAAAATCCGAACAAATGGATCAGTGCCTTTGTTGTTAATCTTCCTAATCTTTCTAAGCACATAGTGCATTACAAACGGAGCAAAACCACAACACTCAGTGTTAGGTCAGGTCGGCTCCTAGCAATTGTTTAAGTGGACAGTTTTGCTTATGAAGATAACACTTCATTTGTGATTTAGAGAACACGACTGCAGAGAAATATAAAACAAAATTATTACATTGGTTGCAATAAAATAATATGTTTCCCAGTGAAATAAAAAAAATCGATGATTTCACTTGTGAAATAATTCCGATAATTTCACTTATCTGACGTCATACAACAATGGGTGTTGTCAAGAAATTGTCGATAACGAATTGGGGATGCGTAGAAAAAAATTGTTCCTTATATTTTGTACTTAATTTTCATTAAAAAGCCCAATGTCAAAGTAATGAAATAAATAATTAATCGAAGAAATCCAATTTCGAAATATATTCAACTCGTGACCAATACTAATATTTTAGTCATGCGCAATGCGCATTCGTGAATTAATATTGTGTTTGGTCACTCACGGAATGTTTTTCTATATTTGGTATTTGAAATCGTCAATTAGTTATTCTACAGAAACAAGCAATTTACATTTGTTTTATGAACGTAAATATTAAGTTGGTTTGAAATAAAGAAATCATTGCTTATAAAAATAAAAGCTATCACTGGCAACAGAATATAACTTTGAAAACGTTTGAGAGCATAATAATCAATTCGTTCGCTATGCTCGGGTCTGTAGTGACGTTTTGGATTTTAATGATCGTAATATATGTATTACTAGTAAATTATTAAGTCAAGGATTTCGTTACTACAAATTACTTAGAACCTTTACTAAATTCTTTCATAGATACAAAGATTTGGTTTGCAAGTTTGGCTGTACCTGTAGATAATTTATTTCAAACTTATTCTAAAAGGTATTTCAACACTGAAATTTAATCTTTGAATACTGTTTTTATTAGACGTGAAATTATTGATTTTGCCAAAAAATAAATAAAAACCATACTAAATATTACTACACATATATATTTTCATAGTACTACAATCTGTCGATACTTATAGTTTGGCAGTGCATAAGTTCATGTTTTTATGTCCCATCTAAGGGCATAATGTTTTTTGGTCTGTGCGTCCGTTCGTTTGTCCGTTCGTCCGTCCGTTCGTCCATCTGTCCCGCTTCATGTTAAAGTTTTTGGTCCTGGTAGCTTTTGATGAAGTTGTAGTCCAATCAACTTGAAACTTAGTACACATATGTCCTATGATATGATCTTTCTAATTTTAATGCCAAATTAAAGTTGTGACCCCAATTACACGGTGTACTGAACATAGAAATGATAGTGCGAGTAGGTCATCCGTGTACTATGGACACATTCTTGTTCTCTGACTGTTAATGACGTCTTTACACTAAAGCCATTGGATGTTGGATGTGTACTGATTGATATTTTAGTCTTAGATACCTGATTTTTTTATAAGTTGTTATTGGCTTTGAACTAACTGTCAGCATCTGCGAGTACTCTCAGATCTGCATTTAGTGTCTTTTGTTTTTGGGAATGAATAAGTACCCGTTCACGTCTACTTTGTGTTTTTGTTAGATGTATTTCTATTTTTGTATCAATCTGATGAGAAAAGCCATTTTCAACTGATTTTTATAGTTTGTTCTTATGTTTCTTATGTTCTGTATGTGCCTGTCCCAAGTCAGGAGCCTATTATTCAGTGGTTGCCGTTTGTTGCTGTGTTACATATTTGTTTTTCGTTCATTATTTTGTACATAAATTAGGCTGTTAGTTTTCTCGTTTGAGTTGTTTTACATTTGACATTTTGGGGCCTTTTATAGCTGACTATGCAGTATGATTTTAAAAAAGAAGATGTGGTATGATTGCCAATGAGGCAACTCTTCACAAGAGACCAAATGACACAGACATTAACAAATATAGGTCACAATACAGCCTTCAACAATGTGCAAAGCCCGTACCGCATAGTCAGCTATAAAAGGCCCAGAAATGACAAATCTTAAACAATTCAAACGAAAAAAGTAATGGCCTGATTAATGTACAAAAAAAATGAACAAAAAAACAAATAACAACCACCGAAGAATTCCGTATACAGGCTCCTGACTTGGGACAGGCACATACATACAGAATGTGGCGGGGTTAAACATGTGAGCGGGATCCCAACCCTCTCCCTAACCTGGGACAGTGGTGTAACAGTACAACATAAGAACGAACTATAAAAATCAGTTGAAAAAGGCTTAACTCATCAGCTCATTGTTGAAAGCCGTACGGTGACCTATAGTTGTTAATTTCTGTGTCATTTGTTCTCTTGTGGAGACTTGACTCATTGGCAATCATACAACATCTTCTTTTTTTATATAACAATGCTTTGATTAATAACACAACGTACAACATAAAGACTAAGCTACACGAAAACCCCTTAAAACACAGAGATGATCTCAGGAAGCTCCGAATTGGTTAGCAGATCCTGTTCCACATGCTGCACCCATCGTGTTGGCAAAATAAGTACAAATCCGGTGACAAGTCTTAATTGGTAGGTTACATTCGATAAAAAGAGAACAAGATTGTGGTTAGTACGACAATTGAAACATATTCGTCGTCATTTTTTAAAACCGATACTAGTATTCCATAACGGTCAACCAAGTCGTGATGGCGTCCGTAAAATTGTCAAAGGGATAATTTTACATGCACCACTTGAAACTCTTAAATAATATCCTTGTAAGCAGCCAGTTTATATAAAAGAAATGATGATAGGAAATCAAAGCTCAGGAATATCGTTTCAACCGAGAGATATATACTCCATACGCAGGCGCTGTTTGAATGTTGTTATAAAGAAATGGAAAGTTCACAATCGAGAAGCTGAAATCATATTTTTCGTCGTAAAGTTTTGTTCTCAATCGACCCGTCATTGTCATTTTCTCGATATGTCAAGATATAAGGCAGACTACATCTGATGTACCCTTTATTTCAAGTTCAATGTGATAGATGCGTTCAACAGTCACCAAACTGAAATATTTAGTGAAAGGACATCATCTATATAGCGGAAGGTGAAGTTAAATGATAATGCTTGCATCGACAAGTAGAGAAGCACAGTTAGTTCCCATGTGAATGTCAATTGTTTGATGCAAAACACGTCCTCGAAAAGTAACAAATACGTTGTCAATCAAGAAATCAATCATCTCGATAATGTCTGTATCAAAGAATTTTTGGTTTTAATCAGAGTAACTTAGTATTAACAGACGGAGTAATGTTTGTACTAATTTTAAAGCATCATTTTCAAAATATATTATTGATATCAGGAAAGCGATGTAGTGAAAATCAATAGAAATATACCTCTCTGCATATTTTCCTTCCCGATTTTCAAATCGTACATAACTAAAACATTTTTTAAAAGACATGTTGCCTCCAATCAATAGTTTTAACTAATGCACACAATTATCACTATGACAGTAATCTAGGATATGATATTTAAAATCATTCAACAATATATGTTGTTTTCAGAGAAACTTCAATATCAATGTTATTCAAATATCCTTGAATTTCCTTGACACTTCATATAATTTGAACTGTGGTAACGATTTCAAATACACTCTTATCGAAAGTTTAAATATTTTCTGAACATATGATTTCAAACATATTAAATTATATTGGTATTATTCTAGTTTACAAATACTCATCATTTTTCGTGCGTTCATTGTGTATATGTTTTCCAACATGCGTACGTTGCTGTTGTATCGTTAATTACTCACCAAGATGACCACTAACGAAAATTACCAATTAAAAAAAAAACTGAATTTTTAACAAATAAGAGGGGTTAATCGTTACTTTTAATTCTATAAAAAGACAGACCACTTGAAGTACGATTTTCAAAAATAGGGACTATGAACGGATAGAGTTGCACTGTTTCTCATATATCCTTCATATGAACAAAGTATATGACAAAGTTTTGTTGAAATTTAAAATTGGAACAAAGCATCTTCTAAAAAGTATTTCCCATAAGTACAAGCTATATGTTTTATTCCGGGCCAACCCATAAGCTTCACGTAATATGATCAAGTTCTAAACAATTTCATGTTCAAAACGTTCGCTTATGAATTAGGAAAGAAGTTAGGTTGAAATAAAAGTTTGTTCCTGAAAATTTCCGTCACGGTCAGTTTATGAAAGATAAGTATGTGTGAGGTATTATTTTTGCAGAATATTACTTGACAAGCGACGGGAAAACTTTGTTATAGATAACTGAAGAGCGCAATCTCTTACGCTTTGGAGAATAAAATATAATTTACGCATTAATTTGTAATTTTATCAATATTCTTTTTACCCGAGACTAAATTGTTGGCTTTATATTTACAAATGTCATTTTATCTAACCGAAAGAAAAAAAAGTACATTACCATATATAACTCGGTTGCAGGTAGTTCGAAACTTTTCAAACTCGATAGTTCGTTAACAAATTATATCTATACATACTCACATTAACTGCGTTGTAGACATTTCTGATACTTGTACTGTTCAATTCATTTTAAAAAAAAATAACATTTCTATTGATTTACTGGTTTAGCAACCAAGGTCCTTTCTATAATCAGATCTATAAATTTCAAAAGAGGTTATGGGTCTGTATACATAATTAGAAATGATTTTAAAGGGAAAATTAAAAATTGCAGTGTTATGTTAGGTTTTCAAAAAGTGCAGTGTAATCAATACTCGTTATATCATATTACTTCATAATATATCTCTCTCAATACTCTCATTGACAGTTTGTCAAATAAATATTATAACACGTACAAATATTTGCATTGTAAAATGAAACAGCATGGACAATTGTAACAATCAACTATTATTTTCAACTGATTTTTATGGTTGGTTTTTATGTTGTACTGTTACACAACTGTCCCAGGTTAGGGGAGGGTTGGCGATTTCAAACTAGTTTATATCATAAATAATTTTCGTTTATTGTTTTATACTTAAATCAGCCCGTTAATTTTCTCGTGAGAATTGTTTTACATTTGTCATGTCGGTGCCTTGATAGCTTACTATGCGGTATGGGATTTGCTCATTGCTGAAGGCCGTACGGTGACCTATATTTGTTAACTTAACCCCAACGACACTTAATGAAGAGGAAATCTTGGATAATCACATGTTTCTTTGGAATTTCAACCAAAGATGAAGAACTGGATCTTCCATCACTGTATTGGATACCTAAACTACATAAGTGTCTTTACAAACAACGGTATATTGATGGGTCCACGAAACCTCTTTCTAAATTATTAACATCAATTTTATCAGCAATCAAAGCCGGAACTCAAAGTTATTGTGAAACTGCCTATTCTAGAGATGGCGTGAATCAGATGTGGATACTACAAAATTCCATAGATCTTTTAGAGTACATACAATCTAAGACTCTTTCATCTTGCAATAGTATTAAAACATTTGACTTTTCTACACTTTACACAAGTATTCCCCATTCCAAACACATTGGTATTGTTTTGTTTCATAAAAAAGAATGGCCAACGTAGATACAAGTATCTTGTCTTAGGGAGGAAAAAATCCTACTTTGTCAAAAATAACTCTGATTCAAACAAAAAATTCTCTGAAACTGACATTATCAAGATGCTTGATTTCTTGATTGACAATATGTTTGTTACGTTTTGAAGACGTGTTTTTCAACAAACAATCAGCATTTCTTCTTGCCGACTTGTTCCTTTATTCTTAACAGGCTGACTTTATACAAGAACTTCTTAGGAAAAAAGAAAAGAAGTTAGCAGTATCCTTTAACTTTACTTTTCGCTATATAGATGATGTTCTCTCACTAAAAAATTCAAAGTGTGGTTACTATGTTGAACGCATCTATCCCATCGAACTTGAGATAAAGGATCCAACAGATACTGTTAGTCTGCCTCATATCTTGACTTACATCTAGAAATTGACAATGAGGGTCAGTTGAAAACAAAACTTTACGACAAAAGAGATGATTTGAGCTTCCCAATTGTAAACTTTTGATTTCTATGTAGCAATATTCCAGCAGCGCCTGCATACGGAGAATATATCTCCCAATTGATACGATATTCCCGGGATGGAATTTCCTATCATGATTTCCTTGATAGAGAGTTGCTGCTTACAAGGAAGGTATTAAACCAAGTGTTCTAAATGGTGGAGTTGAAATCATCCCTTCGTAAATTTCACGGATGAAAGCGGATATGTTCCTAATGTCGTAAATACAATCCCTTCCCCTTTTCACGAATGTGACCTACCGAATTAGACTTGTTACCGGCTGTGTACTAACATGAGAAACACGACGGGTGCCACATGTGGATGATCAGGATCTGCTTACTCTTCCGGAGCACCTTAGATCACCCCAGTTTCTGGTGGGTTCGTGTAGTAAAGTCTTTATTTTTCTATGTTGTGTTTTGTGTACTATTGTTTGTCTGTTTGTCTTTTTCATTTTCAGCCATGGCGTTGTCAGTTTATTTTCGACTTATGAGTTTGAATGTCCCTCTCGTATCTTTCGCCCCTCTTCTACTTCATTTTGGTCTCTTGTTGAGAGTTAACGCATTCGCAATCATACCACGACTTCTTATTTTTTATAAATACAATCAATGAAATAAATCGTTGTGTGTCTGTATATCAATTCTAGATGATATCGGTATCATTCAGTTGTACAGACTTCATCAAACCCCGCAACCTCTGTTACCGGAAATTGTGCAATGTTTTGATGATATTGGCGCACAGCTTTTAATTTACAAACAAGACTTCAATGTTCCTATAAATTCATATGGGATTACTGCAGATTATGACAAATTTGAAGATACATTCTAGTTAAGTTAGTAAACAATGCACCATGGGATACACATGTGTCCATTTCCAAAAACTGCAAAAGCATTAACGAGTTACTTAGGCATGAAAATTAACATTAGATGGAGGTAACTCTGCCAATTTTAAAGTAAAAGAAGAAGGCACAATTTATTCGGATATATAAACCGTCCATTGTCTCATTAAAAATGCAACAAATTGGATGTACACTAATGTATTTTGTAAACACCCACTTGGCTTAACAACACACTCATCATCCCGGACAACACAGCAATCATCTAGATCAATACACAAGAGAGAGAAAACTGTAAAATAAGATCACAACTAGCAGTACCTATATCACGTTAACTACAGTTAGGAGCGGGTGGGTGGATTATAACTTACATCAGGTTAACAAAAATGTCGACCAGTTTCTTGACAGACCGAATATAAAAGAACGCATTACGTCACAAAGTGCTACGACAGTGTTGAGAAACGTCACAAATGATCATAAATAAGGTCTAGTTTTTCAGTACTGGATGCCTTATCAAATCCCCACAACAAGCTTTGCCTATATATGAAACTTTACTCAGGTATTATCAGACAAGGCAAAGATAAGTTATTAGCTAATATTTTATCTCTGTATACAAATTCGTTTAAAGTACTCTCAGATAGGTGTGTATATGTAATTGTATTGATTTTAGATAACTCATAAACATCAATTGGCTTGTTTGTTAAACAAGACAAAAAAACGAGAGTAGGTCAAAAATCAAGAATTTTTATTACTATTGATTAGTTTAAATGATTTCAACCATCCTATAGCTGACGACCCCTTGATGAGTTGGCGTTTGATAAGAACGAAAATAGAATGGGCATGCGCATTTGAGCTTACAACAATAATTAATGACGATGCAATTTCTGTGGTAATGACTTTGGATCATGAATGACCTGAGGTCGATTCTCACATGACACTTAGGAAATATGCGTAATTTAATGTGACATTATAATTACGATCAATAACAAAGACGCTTACTTTGAACGATTTTTTGTGAATTAGAGCTAGTTTCAGAATCGAGATGTCTTGTTTTATATTTACTTACATACTTATCATCAACAGACTTCGATGCTTTCAAGCGGATGTCAACTTTATGATGACAAGAGTCTTTATAGGTTGCATTTCTGTAAATATTGACAATGCAAATTCCAATAGGAACTCCTTTAACGGCTAAAGCTGTACCACGTTTACTATGAAGTTTTGAAAAAAATCTTATCCTAGAATGGAAAATTCATATGCACTACTATTTTTTTCAAAGGTCAAAATATAGGGCTGTGCGGCATATTTTCAACGTGTATATGCCCCGAACTTCTAAGAGTTTAAACTTACACTAAAATCCTGTACTACCCCTTCCTTGACTATAGGTTTCCCACAGATTTCAATTTGACCGATATGAATATGTATATTTACTGGTAACATTCCCAAGTTATGTCTCTACGAGTATGTAAACAAAATTAATTATCTATGAATATTATATATCTCCACTAAAGAGGCGTGGTTTGAAAAACAGCTGTATTTACAAAGTGGAACCTAAGGGCTCTTGATTTACCGATTGTTTCTTTATCTTTGCGCTGTTGAAGTTGTAGAGCACAGATGGGTTACATACCTCCAGCTATTAGTTGGGTCAAATATTGAAAATTGACAGCAGTAATAACAACATACAAACAGACAAAATACACTAAACCCTAATGTGTGGGCTAGCAGTGATTGTACGATTAAATTTACTACAATAACAAAGTCGTGTTTAACCGGACTTAAATGTTAATTTGTACACTTCTGCACAGCCTGAAAAAAATTATCTTGCTCAATGCCAAAATATTAGTATCAACAGGATATAGGCTGAGATATTAAGTTATGTTTTAATTTATAGAAAACTATATTACTGTAATTAGTAAGTCAAACTTTTTTTTTTTGATATTTTGATATTTGATAGAATCGATATTTTTTTCTGAAACTACTAAATACTTCTTACCAAATATTTACTCAATTTGTCACCAACCACATATATTTATGTCAAGGAATGTATCGTCCTTTATCAACAAAAAACAAATCATCGGAGGATACCAGGACCTTGCAAAATTGATGATAATTATTCCGTACCCCTATTTTCTTACATGTTTATCTGTTTGTTTTGATCTCACATTGTGTCAATATGATGTTATTTTATGCGACTGTCATACAAGTGAGAGGTTTATCTAGCTATCACACCAGGTTTAATCCTCCATTTTCTACATAAGGAAATGCCTGTACCAAGTCAGGAATATGACAGTTGTTTTCCATTAGTTTGATGTGTTTGAGCTTTAGATTTTGTCATTTTATAAGGGACTATCCGATTTGAATTTCCTTGGAGTTCGGTAATTTTGTTATTTTACTTTTTATACCTAAACAAGATTTTTTTCAAACTCAATGTAGTAATTATACAAATAGATTTGTTTAATATAACATTTGCACATGTTGCTTCATTATACTATGATTATATTTGTATTTGATATAATATCTATTTTACATATTGTCACTGACAGTATTGAGAGATATGATCAAATATATGAGTGAAACGATATGTAATGACTATTGTTAAAACAACAAGTCTCTTTGTTCCGTTTTAATCATTGAAATCACAAAATAAAATTACTATAATGTAAACGTTCTTTTAGTTACACTTCATGTAACACAAGATTACCTTGTTTGATTTAATTATTTCATAAACACCTGACAGCCGAATATAAT